TTGGCTGCCATTCACCCGCAAAATACACAGTCACTACACATTAAGAGAAAAATCTGGTGAAATGCTTTCAAGACCTGATAAATTGCTATATCAAATGCAACGATTATTATTATTATTATTATGATGTAACCTTCTGACTCAAGAGACGAGCGTCAGATTGAGCGAAAATGTAAAATGTGGGACCAACTGTGAAGTTGAGTTTCTGTCTGGTTTGAAAGAACGATTTTTTTTCCTGTTATGACTCGAAACAGTATCTTTCCGCGCATTTCATCTTTATATAGAATAGCTTCAAGTTACTGCCTGGTGCTCCATCCGTCTACAAAACAGATGTAGATATTGCACCACAGGCAGAACATGGGATGTGCAAAGATAACAGAGGCTAAAGCAAAATCAATAGCACTGCAGCTAAAGCTGTAGAAATGCATTATCCGATCGATAGCGGAGAAGGAAATGGCCTCGCCTTATTTTGCAAAAAAAAGAAAACAAAAGCCAACATTTGCTTGATTTGAAGAAAAAACCTTTATTTTTAATAATTCATCTACTTTGGCTCATCTCAATGTTCGTCGCAGGACCTCTCCCTGAATTTTTAAAAACTCTTTTATAATAATAATAATCCTTGCATTTGATGTAGCGCTTCATCGGGTGTTCGAGACGTCTCAGAGTGCGTCACAGAATATATTGCAAAGTGAATTGACTGTATATTTTGTGGGTGAAACGCGGCAGTCAATTGCGCACAGCAGTGTCCCACAAACAGTCGTGGATTGAGTGACCAATTTATCTTTATTATTTTTTTTGAAGGGATTATTACCTCCGGAAAAGTGATCCGCCAATCGACTAACAACCGGGTTCCTACTTACTGCTAGGTAAACAGAGGCGTGTGGAGTAAGGAAACTTGCATAATGTTTTGCCCTGCTGGGAACAGAACCCAGGTCTCTCGCTTGCGAGGCGAGTGCTCTAACCACTGAGCTATAAGACTTCATCCCCACTGGAACGTTAACCTTCCCTCGCTCCTTTGCACTTGTGTGTCTCTCCTTCAATCTCTCCGCTCTGCCCCTATTCCCCATGTTCAGGTTGCGCCTGAAGACCTTCTTCTTCAACGGTGCTGACGGTCACCTCCCCTCACCCACTAGATTGCATCAGGCTCCACCACCGTCCAGCGCTCTGAGACGCTACCCCATGTGAGAGGCGCTATATAAATGCTGGTTGTCGTTGTAATCAGTCTGTCTTGATTGGTAACACGTTTGCCTGAGTCAGAAAGATATAGTTTCAAACCTCCATGTCGAGACTTGGAATCCATGTAGTCTATGCTGACACTCTAATGAGGTAACGCTGATGAGGGGAGCGCTGCATTATTGGAGGGGCTGTCCTTCAGATGAGATGTTAAACTGAGATCCTGCCTGCCTGCCCAGGTGGACGTTAAAGATCACATGATATATCTGACAACAGAAGAGAGTTTCTCCCTAGGTCTTGGCCAACAATCCTCCAAATAAAATTGGGTCACTCGCTCCACGGCTGTTTGTGGGACATTGCTGTGTGCAAACTGGCTGTTGCATTTGCTCATAAAATACATAATCACACCGCTTTACAGTACATCCTGAAGTGTTTCAAGATGTCTCGAGAAAGTAATACGTAATATCAAACGCAAGGATTATTATACTGTACATTATTTATACACCTATACCATCTATGAGAATTATGGTGTCAGGGCCTCAGTCTGCAGTGGGGAGATGTTGTGTATGGTGTGGACTTGGGATCATTGATCTACTGAACTCATCAGGTTCATAAAGTGGATGAAATATCTGACAAGACCTGCTCTTTGTACATGTGGGTGATCTATAGCAAGAGAAACACATTCAATATAGAAATTGGCAGAGAATTACTTTTCTAAACACCTGACAGGATTCAATAAGACAGATGTTGATTCACTTTTTAGCAACTCCAAGACAAGAGGTGAATATAAGACAGCCTGTGTATTTTGTGGGCGAGTGAAAGAAACCTGGTGTCCGTCCTGAAACTGCCCTCTGCAACTCTCAACCTGTGTCCTCCTCTTCAACAGTCTTGGTGCATCTGAAAGAATTGTTCTGGGTTTACTTTTTGAAATCCTATTTAATATTTTATACAGCTTTGTAAAGTCTAGAACGACGAGGACTATTAGATCGCCTCTGTGATGCCTTCTTTCAAGACTGAAGAGCCCGAAATTGTTTCAACCTTGCTCAGACCGGGAAAAGCCATCCAGCAATCAGTTTCCTACTTTAATACTAGGTAAACAGAGGCGTGTAGAGAAAGGAAACTTGTCCAAGGTTTCGCCCTGCCTGGGAATCAAATCCAGTTCCTCTCGCTTGCGAAGCGAGTGCTCTAACCAATGTGCTACAGGACTCCTTTTAAGGATCAAAGGATCGTACAGGTTTCTGCTGCTCCCTAGTAATGCAACCACCCCAGGCAAGTCCTGGCCACTCCGGTATCTTCAACAAACTCCCCTTTTATTTTAAATCATGCACTGGGACTTACCGCTAATTTTCCACAATCCAAAAAAAACTCTCTCCCCACGGACACGCAGACATTTTGCTATGTTTTTTTTACACCAGCTGTCAAACATTATGTTCTTTTTCCAGTAGCTGCTTTTTTTTTGGAAAAAAAGTCTACAAAAAATTTCTCTTGGTAAAATCCCAATAGGTTTTCTACAAAGCAAACATCAATATTGTGAAATTATAATCCCATGGGCCAAGCTTTAATTAACATTCCTAATAGCAACATGCTGACTCTGATTAAAGTATCACTGTTGTTTGGGAACACTTGGGTTTTTTGTTGTATTTATATTCTGTGTGTATATATATATATATATATGTATTTATGACTTTTTTTAACCACATTTATCTGACTTGGCACTTGTTGAAAACGTCTGAGATTCAACAGCTTCCTGTCAGACCACACTCGCAGGGAGAGCGACGTTTAAGGAGGTGGAAAGAGCTAGTCAGCTGAATTCTCTGCCACTTGGAAAGTGTAAGGGCTGACATTGCTCCACGCACCACCCACCCATGCATTCACTTGGGGACCCGCACAACTCCAGCCCTCACAACAACAGCGTATGAAAATAGAGGAAGGAGGAGGGCAGAGAGGGGAGCAGAGAGACGGGGCAGAGACGGGAGGGAGGAGCAGAGATGGGAGCAGCGAGAAAATAGAGGAAGGAGGCGGGAAAGGAGAGGAGGGAGGGGGCTGAGCAGGGAGGGAGGGGCAGAGAGAGGACAGTATTGTGAAGATTATTAGTGTTCAACTTTATTGGGTTCAGCTCTGGAGAGAGTTTGGATTTAGGAACATAGGAACAAGAGTAGACTCCTCGAGGCTGCTACACCATTCTATCAGATCAGTACCTCAACTCCAAGTACCCGCCTTTGCCCCAAATCCATACACCAGATTAGTTTCTTTTTAAAGACAAGTTAGGTAGCTCGAACTGAGCCAAGAGTACATTCCACCGCTGATCTGAATTACACTCGGACTTGGTGATGATGGTGGTGGGGGAGTGGGGTGTGAGGGGGCATTTCATTGATCAATTTCATTGTTCGTAAATTTTGCTTACGTAACATTTACTGCTTTGCAAAATAACTCACTTGGTGAAGTACTCCAAGAGGTGCCTCACTGTCATAAGGTGCGATATCACATGGAATCTTTGGTTTGGACACAATAATAATAATAATGATCATTGCATTCGATATAGCGCCTTCCATGTTGTAAGGATGTCTCAAAATGCTTGACAGGATATATTGTGAAGTGTAGTGTCTTGACTGTGAAGTCAGTACACTTACTCCACTCGCCTCTGTTAACCTAGTAGTAAGTAGGAACCCGGTTGTTAGTCGATTGACAGATCGCTTTCCGGGGGTAATAATCTCTCCAACAAAAAAAATGGTCACTCAATACACGACTGTTTGTGGGTAAATCCTGTGTGTTATGCTGCGTTTCACCCACAAAATATACAGTCACTACACTTTACAATATATTCTGTGAAGCGCTTAGCACGTCTCAATGAAGCGATGAGGGGCTATATTAAATGCAAAGAGTATTATTGTTATTATGATTTATATGGTGAGTAGTAAATACCTCTGCATAACACAGTGGCTGCAATATTCTAGTTGCCCCTTGACTCCACGCCACACATCGAGCCCCCCTCAACCTCCCACACTCTGATCCACTACCTTGGTTTAGACGTATTGACGATCTAGACAAATACACAACCCTGCATGCTCCAATGCTGAAATTGTTTCAATAGCATCAATCGCTCACTTTCAATTGTGTATGGGGGGGAGGGAAAGAGGAAGGGGGGGGGGGTGGGGGCTGAGGTGAATATTTTGTCTCCTCCTGGGTGGGAGTCGTCCCCTAGGATTCCCTGCACACAATAGGAAAGCTCACCTGCAGAAGTTCCAATGATGCAATGCTGGGAGTCGTGCAACCTACATTCAGTTACTCAAGTCAGTTCCCCCCCATTCTACCTCTCCGCATCACCACCCCCCCCTCCCCCACCACTGGGACAGCATTGCAGCACTTGCAGAGGTAACCAGACAGTGACTGAAAGGCAGCTACCAACAAACAAGCTTCTGGAAACCATTCACCAATACGAGAAAAAATGATTCATTCATAGCCGTTGCTTATTGACCCACAAAATACACAGTCAATTCACTTTACAGTATAGTCTGTGAAGCTCTTTGAGACCCCTCGAAGACTGGACAAGGCTCTATATCAAATGCAAGGATTATTATCATTGTGTGAGAGGCATATAACAAAAGGGCCACACTGACTAGCTGCCAGGGTCATCTCTTTGAAGTGGTCCCATGGAGGATGGAGGGGAGGGGAGCGGGGAGGGTATAGAGATGAAGTAACAAACTGTTTGAAAGCTGATAACGGGTAGTCCCTTCCTCCATTTAAGCAAGCTTCAACAGAGCATCAGATAAGATTGATTAGAAAGAGAGACAGATCAATAGACAGAGTTAGATAGATAGACAGAGATCTACCTTTATATTCTCTTGGGCTTCGAGATTCCCCTTCCAAACCACGCTGTAGCAGCATTCCCGGCCTGTCCCCTCCTAAAGTTAGCACAGACAGAATTTGTTTTGAAATTTTCTGGGTGGCACATTAACCCATTCTGCCCTGGCTAATGAATGAGCCATGCAAAGGCTGCTAAGTTCAAATGTAACCAAAAAAAAGTCAACGTAAGACATTTTGAGAAGTAGATCGCATGTGGGTGAAAGTTAACAGCTCAGCCTATAGCAGGACTGCTACTTCAGGGGGTGGTGAAGTGGGGGGGGGGGGGTGAGGGGGGATGACGGAAGAGGGACTGTGTTTGAGGAGAGAGAGAGAAAGAGATAAAATCACATAGAAAGGGAAAAAAAAGGCTTGGATCATGCGACAGAGAGGAAGAAGAGGGCAGGAAAGAAAAATGGTCCAGAATTGATGAGATTTGGAATAAACATCACAAGCAGCAATCGCACTTTACCGCCCACCAAAGTCTTGTGACTTAACTAAGATCACTTGTCAAAAGGGTAGGCACTAAGTTTTTAAAGAGGTTATGGCCATGGTTTCCCCACAAAAAGTATACACAACTCCTGAGCTCTGTCGGTCTTTCGAACTGAAGCTCATGAGAAGAGAAAAATAATTCTATAATAATCCTTGCATTTTGATATAAAATGACTCAAAAGTGCTTTCTAGAATATGTTGTAAAATGGAGTAACTGTGTATTTGTCAGCAGCCCAACTGATCACAGCAATGTCCCACAAACAGTCATGAAGTGAATATCCAGTATTATTTATTTGGGGGATTGATTGGCCAGGACACCGGGAAAATCTCCCATCTCGTTTTGAGGAGTGCAGTGCCGTGGGATCTCTAATGTCCACCTGAACAGACAGACAGAACCTTGGTTTAACATCTCTTCCGAAAGACGGCACCTCCAACAATGCAGCACATCCCCAGCACTGCACTGGAGTGCCAGCATGGACTATATGAGTTCAAAGTTCTGACGTGGGGGCTTGAACCCACAACCATCTGACTCGGAGGCGGGAGTGCTACCAACTGAGCCAGGCTGGCACAGATGATTTCCCTGTCGTTTATCAAGATGATGCAGAAAAGCAGTCTTTCCTCTCAGTTTGGTTCCCCACAGGGCAGCCCTGAACACAAGGCATTCATTCTCCCTCACTTTATCCAATGGGCAGCTGGAATTGTCCGCTATAAAACTGGGGAATAGTGTTGGTGGGGGGATCGGAGGGGAAGGGGTGGGAAAGGGAGGCGGTGTGTGTTTTTCAAACAATGCCGTAACTCTGAGATATCTTTGGAGTTGATGGTCTGACCAAACATGTTGATTTCTTTTTATAATAAAGGGAACCCACGCAAATTGCCCAGAGTTGATCACGGTTGCTGGTGACCCCCATGTATCAGTTCTCCGACCATCAGCTGGGCACCAACACGGTGTTTTTATAATCATTTTTATAATCCTTACATTTGATGTAGCACCTTATCACGTCATTGAGACATCTCGAAGCACTTCACAGAATATATTGTAAAGTGAATTGACTGTATATTTTGTGAGCGAAACCCGGCAGCCAATTGCACACAGCAGTGTCCCTCAAACAGTCATAGATTGAGAGACCAATTTTTTTTTAAGGGTTTATTAAAAATTTTTTTTAATGGAAATTGATCCGCCAATTGACTAACAACGAGTTTTTACTTACTGCTAGGTAAACAGAGGTGTGTGGAGTAGGGAAACCTGCCTAAGATTTCACCCTGCCCGGGGATCGAACCTGGGTCCTCTCGCTTTCGAGGCGAGCACTCTAACCACTAAGCTACAAGACTTTTTATTGAGTGTCTGGAATCGTTCACTATTCCCCTCTCAGCCCACTGTCGGAGGAGGTGGTAAGACTTAAACCAGAGCAGCAACAACAACCTCACCCCTCCTGCCCCCCCCCCCCCCCCCCCCCCCCCCCCACACACGCATTGTCAATGTGTATTCTCTGCAGACCCCAAAATTTCTGGGGCAGGTACAGTGCAGATTTCTGGTGACCTTGTCATTGTCTTTGCGATCTGTCAGGTGTCCGATACGTGCGGAAAGCCGCCACCAAGCTTAAAACCTATCCAAACCAGACAGAGTTCTACAGCCAGCCAACCCCATTCACTCACAATCGCCTTGAATGATGGATGTTGCAATGCCTCTTGCGAGACCCCACATGAAAACAACATTTAGTTGGTGACTTCTCTGCAAACCCACCCTCCACAATTCCACTTCTGCGACCTTCTCCGACCACAAGGTAAAAGCCTCCCCTCTTCGCTTAGCGAGTACTGACCAGCTTCATTTCCCACTGCCCTACCATCGGTGGACAGGCTTTCAGCCATTCTGCACCCTGTTCTTTGTAATTTCATCACTGAGTCCCGCTGTCCCTCCCTCCCTTCCCTCTGTCTCCTTCAAGGCATATCTCAAAACAGTACCACTTCCACCTTGTTTTCAGGCATCTTTCCATTCTCTCCTCACCCTCCCTTGGATCCCACCCCAAGCTCAGGTACCCATCCAGTACCGGTAAAACAACTTGAGATGTCCTTCTGCCGTGAGAGACGCTGCATAAATGTGAATCATATTGCCAAATAAGGTGGTGAGGCAAGAATCCATTGTGGGTATCAAGAGGGAAGTGGACAGGTATAATGAAGGATAAAGGCTTGAACGGGTTTGGTGATAGGGCAGAGTACTGGGACTGAATATAATAATGGCTGAAATATAATAATAATACTTTTGCACTTGATATACCGCCTTATCACGTCATGGAGCCGTCTCCAAACTCTTCACAGTATACTGTAAAGTGTGTATTTTGTAGGCGAAAGGCAGCAGCCATTTGCGCACATTTGAGTGGCCACATTTTTTTTTGAAAGGATTATTACCCCTGGAAAACAATCTGCTAATCGACTAACAATCGGGTTCCTACTTACTGCTAGGTAAACAGGTGTGTGAAGTAAGGAAACTTGCCCAACATTTCACCCTACCGGGAATCAATCCCAGGTCTCTTGCTTGCGAGGCGAGTGCTCTAACCACTGAGCTACAGGACTCCAAATTCTTGCAAAGATTAGATCCACGGAGAGTTGGTTTAGAATTAGGAGCCAATGGATGAGAGCTCTACCAACTGATACCTCTATAACAGCAAATGACATTTGTATAGCACCTTTCATAACCAGGTTCTTACATACTGCTAAGTAAACAGAGGCATGTGGAGTAAGGAAACTTGCCTAAAGTTTTGCCCTACCCGGGAATCGACACCCGGCTCCTCTCGCTTTTGAGGCAAGCGTGCAAACCACTACACAAAATCGTGTTCTGAGTAGAGACTTGATAGACTGAATGGCCTTCTTCTGCACTGTATTTCCAGGACTCTGACTTGTCTGCAACACACTTAATATGGATTCCCATTTCCTGGAGTACAATTCTGTCCCTCAATCCCACTCCCACAATATTTCAGGAATGTGAAGAACAGAAAGAAGTGGCTAAAGACTTGAAAGGCTATTTAACGTCAAAGCAGAATTTCGCAAATAAACCTTCATCACCAGCCAGAAAATCACCACCCACAAGAGCACAACAGACACGTGATGCAGAGGGGTGGGGGGTGGGGAAGAGATAGGAAGGGGTGTTACTTGATAATAGGAATATTTATACCCAGCACATACAGCTCAATTCATGTCTCCGCATTGCACCAGTCTAATGCTCAGGCCACAAACATCCGTCGAGTCATATTCACAGAACGAAACCAACACACGATTTGCAGCGGCAGAGTAACGATGAGGACACTGACAACAGGTCCTCAGACCCCTCAGTGGGCTAGGCTTTTGTCATTGTTCTACTCCCCTCAGCTCCGAACCCCAGCCTGGATGCCAAGCCACCATTGTTGAGCGAACGCCTTGAGATGTCCTCTCGACTTGAAAGGCGTTGCATCAATGTACTTTGTTGCAGCAATCGCTGTCCGATACACTCTGGTATAAAAAGCGTATCCACTGTATAGACATCAGGCGAGGGCTAGAATAGGGCTCCAGAGCCAGCTGTCAATCACTGTTGTGGGTGGGGGGGGTGGGGGGACGATGACCAAGGGCTGTGGAATTGGACCCCAACACAGGTCAGGAGAGGAGGATAAAATATAAGAACAGGAGTAGGCTATTCCGCAACTCCATGTACCAGCCTTTGCTCCATATCCTTATCTAACAAAAATCTATCCACCTCAGTCTCGAAAATTTCAATTGATCCAGCCTTTTGGGGAGAGAGTTCCAGATCCCAGAAACAACCGTCCCTTCTCGCCTCCCACACACGCACAATCACTAGCTATATTTTTGGTGGGGAGGCCAGACAAGGAGAAGGGGGAGGGGGGTGGTCAAGCAGGTGTAAACCCATCCCGCTGCACAGTTGACAAGTTGCTCAGTACAGAGCCGAATAAGCTAAACATAGAGTTCGCTGTGTTAATATATAAAATGGATGAGAGTACTGTGAAGCATTCAAACAGTGTGATTTGCACGATGCATAATAAATACAGGCAGAGCGCACTGGACACAGTATCTTGCGCTGGTACTAACAATAACAACAACTACAAATTACATTTATATATAGCGCCTTTCCCATCAGGAGGACGTCCCAAGTCGATGAAACTAAGTAGAATTCTGACATTTCATTATTTACCACGCCTGACAACAAGCTCCAATTGATTTCGATTTACTAAGAGCAAAAGGGGGGAAGAAAGTTAAATGAAAGCAGTAAAAATTCATCAGCCTCTCTTTTTTTCCCCACCCTGATCTAAAAGCAAGACAGCAGGCAGAAGCTTTTCCATTAACTTCCTTTCCCCCTTAAGTGTGTTCCCAAATTGCCAGCCAGTCACGTTTCAGACACTTCTAGGGGGAAGCACGCACTTTAGCAAAGACCATCGCATTGCAGAGCAGAGTACAGCGTAAACTATTCCACGCCAGGCAGCACACACTTACCAATGGGGACTGGAGGAGGATCAGCTTAAAGCGGATTTGTCACTTGTGTAACACCAAACTATCTCGAGCATCAGTGTTATGTGGTCGGTGGTGGGGGGGGGGGGGGATGAACGGACGGACGGACGCAGAGAAGGGAAGATAAATTGTTTTTTTTTAAAAAAAGGCTGTTTTACACAAGTCACCACATCGTCTCTTGCGGGAGTGACTGACGGAGTTGGGGAGTGGGGGGAGGAAGAGTACTCTACGTTTCAGAAACAAGCATCACTCTTAAAACAACATGCAGGTCACTCGTTAAACAGGGGTAGGAACGGAGGAACAAAGGAGGCCATTCAGCCCCTCGAGTCTGTTCGCCATTCTATTAGATCATGGCTGGTCTGTACCTCAACTCCAATTACCCGTTTTTGCCCCACTATCCCTTAATATCCTGACCTAATAAAAATCTATCTACCTCAATCTTACAAATTTAAATGCATCCAGCATCCACAGCCTTTTAGGGGAGAGAATTCCAGATTTCCAGTTCATCCGCCTTGGGGTGAGAGATGGAGACAGAGGGATCGATCCCCAGGCAATGGTCAGGGGTTTAAATAGATGGGACGATTTCCGATGTAAGGCACAGGGAAGCCCCTGTATTACAATGACACCATGAGTTCAATGAGACCGCCGGTTTCTTATTTTTTAAAAACAAAACTCAGTTTCTTAATCTCGGCTGAAGCCCCATTTAAAATCGATGCAGCGGGAGTATTAAAGCCAGCTGACTGTTTAACTGCAAGTAAGCATTGATTTTTTTTAACGATCCGATAAAGACTTAGCAAATAAGGCAAGGAAAAAGGGAAGGTCCAGGTGCTGAGTCTCAATAATCCTAAACTCGTATTACAATACAGCGGCAGCAAAGAGCAAGCTTTTCAAGGAAACACTGCATTATTCGGTTATCTAATAGAACCTTGTAAATCAGAACGCGAACACTGTAGTTCGGAATAGAGGCAGTATGCCAAGCACCTTGATATGGGAATGCTTTTGCGGAACGGGTGGGGTGGGGGGGGAAAAGAGAGAGGTGGAAGAGAAGGGTGTGGGTGTGTGTGTATCTGCTTACCGATCATGTGGTTCGCCACATGAACCTGGATGTCCCACTCACACTGAAAGATCATCTGGCACTTGATGCACTGGTAGGTTTTCTTCTATAACAAAGAGAGGAAGGTGGGGGAGTGGGGGCAAAAAGAAAGACAAGACAAAAGCTGGTGAGTCTCTCAGAGTGGACGAGTGGCAAACATTACAACAAAACTTTGCAAAAAAGCCATCACAAACTCCCGGTCGCCAAAACAGAAGGTTGTGGGGTCCACCACCAACAACAACAACAACAAGATTACATCTGTATAGCGCCTTTCACGTTGGGAGGACATCCCAAGGCGCTGGACAGAGTACAGCATTTCAGACCCGAGCTGAGGTTGGGGGGGTAAGGGAGGGGAGGGGAAGGGGGGTGGCCAATGGCATGGTCGAAGAGGAGGGTCTTGAGGTGGGACTTGAAGGAGGCTAAGGAGGGGGAGAGGCAGAGTGACTGGGGGATGGAATTCCAGAGGTTGGGGGCAGAGTGGCTGAAGGCTCTCCTGCCAATGGTGGGGCGGGTGGGTCGGGGGTCGTGGAGCACGCCAGAGCTGGCTGAGCGGAGGGAACCAGCGGGTTGGTAGGGGGTTAGGAGGTCGCAGAGATAGGGTGGGCCAAGGCCATGGAGGGCTTGGTATGTGAGGACCAGGATCTTGAACTGGATCCTCCGAAGGATAGGAAATCAATGGAGTCGGGCGAGAGAGGACACGGGTTGCAGAGTTCTGGATTATCTGCAGCCTGTGGAGGGAGGAGTTGGGAAGGCCGACAAGCAGGGCGTTTGCATAGTTGAGCCTGGAGGTGATGAAGGCACGAACAAGAGTTTCGGGTGAGGTAGTGGCGGAGTCGGGCGATGTTACGGAGGTGAGGGAAGGCAGAGCGGGTCATAGCTGGAATGTGGGGGAGAAAAGACAGTTGAGGGTTGAACAAGACAGCGAGGTTCCTGACTGGCCAAACTCCACGTTGCAACTTGTAGTCTATACTGAGGCTCCTATTGCGGGGCTGGGTATATTGTTTTAAGGAATTGTTACCTTACTCCACATCCAGAAACGTTAAAAACAGATTTCTACAGATGAAGCAATGCCCGGTTGTTGTCGCTTTTCTGGGTTAACGATTCCCTCAACAAAATAAAAATAACAATTTTCTCATTCAATCCACGACTGTTTGTGGGACATTGCTATATGCAATTGGCTGCCACATTTCGCCCACAAACTATACAGTCAATTCGCTTTACAGTATATTCTGTGAAGCGCTTTGAGACGTCTCAAAGACATGATAAGGCGTTATATCAAATGCAAAGATTGTTATTATATTATTATCCATGCAGATTGATCCGGTCAGTGCCTGAAGTGAAAAGGTGCTGACCGGAGCCAAGTAGGAGAGTCTCAGTGTTGTCGACGTTCAAGTGGAAATATAGAGACATCAAAAAGCAATGCCCGAAATGGACAGAGAGTCTTGGTTCTGAGGAGAGAATATCATGAAGTAAATATCTAAGAGTCACTCACTATGTTTTTGCTAAGTTTATTTTGGGTCAGTCGAGTGTCTGACAGGTGGAAACCAATCATGATGCTTCAGGGTCTCCAAACCAAATGGCTGGAAGTTCCACTTATGCATGGCAATTTCCTGGCGTCTGGAATGGAACGTACACTCTCTCTTCCTGGAGGGATGCAACCTGCTTACCCAACACCGGAAAGTGCTAGGCACAGGCTGGCAAGAGCCAAGGCTTGGTTACCCCAGAGTATGTGTTAGGTATAACTGCTGGAGTTTAACTAGCTTGCCATCGAGCACACTATCTGGCAAGCTTTCTGCTGCTTGTCCAGCTAACCTACTATAAGGGCTTTGCAGGGTTAACAGGCGCTGAGTGGGAGGAATTCCTGCCACAGTTAATAGCCACTAATTATGTACAATCAACATTATCGGAGGAAATCAACATACAAAAAACACACATATATTTATATAACTACTTGAACAAAAGAGTGAGAAATATCCAGGGAACAGACGTTCCAGGACAATAATAATAATAATCCTTGCATTTGTTATGGCGCCTTATTATTACCCCCAGAAAGCAATCCGCCAATCCACTAACAACTAGGTTCCCACTTGCTGCAAGGTAAACAGAGACGTGTGGAGTAAGGAAACTTGCCTAAGGTTTCGTTCTGCCCAGGAATCGAACCCAGGTCTTCTCGCTTGCGAGGCAGGTGCTCTAATCACTAAGCCTCAGGACTCCGAAAAGGCCGACCCCATTATAAATTGCTTTGCCTGAATGGGTTTGTTTCTGACACAAGACCCACAGTTATCAGAATTGCCGGATACTCGGGATTTCCAGCCTGGATCAAGCATTTTATAGGGGTAAAGGATATGCATTCCAGGATGCTGCTGATGTCACTTTCTGTGTGCTCTGCATGCAATGCTCCGCGCAGTAAGAGTCACTTCCTGTGTGCGGTGCATGCACACTCTGCGCTGGAAGTGCCACTAATAACCATCTGACATCAGTGAGATCAGGTGTGCACACATGAGCAGGGCACAGGAAGAGACATCGTTTCCTGTGCAACATTGCACGAAGTGATCTCAGTGGCGATATGATAACCCAGAAGGAGGACATTTTGCTGCATGGTAATTGCACGCAGGGTCTGAGTTTATATACCCTGTTTATGGAGTTTATAGACCCAGGCCACCATGTTGTATTGGGAGAGCACTCCATTGACGGAGGTGCTGCCCTTCCCACGAGATGTTAAAATAAGATCTCTTCTGGCTGTTCGGCCGGATGTAAAAGATCCCATGGCAATATTCAAAAAAGGAAGGGAGTTTCTACCGGTGCTCTGGCCAACAATCCTCCAGAGAAATTAGTCATCCACTTCATGGCTGTGCGTAGGCAAATTGGCTGCTGGTTTTGCCTACAAATACACAGTCACTACACTACACCTTGTGAAGGGCCTTGAGACATTTCAAAGTCAAAAGCGAAACTTCAACATTGATAGTATTCTGCGATGGGAAGAGATGAAATTCTACGATATTTAACGTACTCAGACGCAGCATTTGGTATTTAAGGTATATCCTGTGAAGTGCTTCGGAACGTCTTCCTAACCTGAAAGACGCTATGTCAAATGTCAGGATTATTATTATTATTTATGTCACAGCCTTGGCAGTGAGGGTTTGCAAGCTATACAACCATAAGATCCTGCCCCCCCCGCCCACCCCGATCTCAACCTGCAGTCCTCCCCCAATATCTCCCCTGTGCTCATCCCTCTCCAGCATCGACAGCGATCAGCTTCAAGAACTCTGGGTTCCTTGACTCTCCCTAACTCAAGGGTGTGAAGACCAATTTTATTTGCTACCTCTGTTCAGATCAGGGTTGAAACGTGCAACTATCCATGTGTGTGTTGTCTGGTACTTTGTGTGCGTTGTCTGGTGTGTGTTATCTGGTGCAGAAAGGCTAAAGGTCTGACTCCACCCTCTGGAACTCCATCCTGGAGCCCCTCCACCTTCCCCTCACCCTTGCCTCCTTCAAGGCACATCTCAAGACCTTTCTCTTTGACCATGCTTTCGTTCATCTTCCCACTACCACCCACTTTGCCCTTCACCCCTCTTGACTCCAATCTCCAGCTCGGTCGCAAACCCTCGACTGTCCAACGCCTTGGGACATCTTCCCGACGTGAAAGGTGCTGTATAAATGAGTTGTTGTTAGGACAACAACAACAATTATAACAACTTGCACTTATATAGCGCTCTCCACGCAGGGTAGCGTCTCAGAGCGCTTAACAGTGGCGGATCCTGACTCCGAGCTGGGGGGGAGGTGGCCGTAAGCACGGTCAAAGAGGAAAGGCAGGACTTGAAAGAGGCAAGAGAGGGGGCAAGGCGGAGGAACTGAGGGAGAGTGTTCCAGTTAGTACTGCAGTAGGCTCTCCTGTTAGCCAATAGGAGAGTGAGTATTGCGCGTGGCTGGTTCCTGTCGGCTCTTGAATAAAAGTTGGCCAAACACATTTTCAGGGGAAGGCTGTACTTCTTTAACTGATGCATTTCCCAGCCCTAATGTTCCTGATTTCCCAATTTGTGTTCTCTTCCTCCCCTGCACACATGTGGCCTTCTATTAATCTGACATTACACTTAGAATATTCCTGAGGGGGGGGAGGAGGGCAGTTTCCTGGTGTGTGTGAGTTTGTGCATGTGTGAGGGGTATTATTAATGTGTGGTTTGTCTGTGTATGGGTGGTTTGGGGGTGTGGAGTAAGGAAACTTGCCTAAGGTTTTGCCCTGCCCGGGAATCAAACCCGGGTCCTTTCGCTTGCGAGGCGAGTGCTCTAACCACTACACTACGGGACTCGAGAGGTTAAGGAGAGGTGTTCTGAGATACAGAATCTTGGTGCAGAGCTGTGGTGTTGGAGAAGCTGAGACGTGGCTCAGTGATTCACTGACAGTCTGAGCACCAGCGGAAAGTGTTCACCGAGGCCTGGACTCCTCACCTCAAGGTTGGACGCGGCGGTGGAAACATCTAAAAAAAAGTTTTCGTAAAAGTTTTTTTTTTACTTCTCCCTCCCTCTCTCACACGCTCACAGCATCGCGAAAAAAACAAAGAGGGGGGGAATAATCTGGTGATTTGGCAATCCTTTCAGCTAGGGAACAGACAGCAGCGCGGAAAAAAGCTTCGAAGTGTGGTGGGGGTGGTGGTACGGTTCCATGGGGGAAGGGGAAGCAACCAAGAGTGTGCCAGGAGCCAGGAAGAGAGCTCTTAAAATATAATAAACACTTCATTCCCCCAGTGCTGTAACTTGGTAACTTGAAGAGACTTTCCCTCTCCTCCTCCCCCACACACCCCACTTCCCGACCCATTCCTGTTTCCATCTCAGAAAACAGTTAATATTCCATACATTCCCCCTGTCCCACTTACACATACACACACAAACACACGCACACAAACACACACCAACACTTTCCCCAACATGCCTCTCGCATCTCAAAAATGCTAAAAAGGCAACTCTGTGCTCTTTGTCGGACGTGAAGCTTTACAGGGTCTCAGTGCACTGCACTGGTGTGTAGGTAAGTGCCAAGAAGCCGATATACTTGCCGCACTGACGGGGAGA